AGTTCTCTTCGCCCGAAGAGAAGAAGCCGGGCTCCAACTCGGGCGGCGGATTGAAAAATGACGTCGCCGGAAGATCGCACAGCGCACCCCCCCACAGCGTCGGCGATACCTCGGCGACGCCAAAACTGAAGGGGCCCTGGGACACACAAATAAATACACACAAATAAAATAAACCCCCATATTTTCCCATATTTTCTGGGTTTCTGCCTCCCCGCCCAATTCCCATATTTTCCCATATTTTCTGGGGAATCGAGGATTAATTGTGTCTGTGTTTTTTCCTCTCCTGAAAAACAGAGGAGAGGAAGCCGGGCTCCAGCTCGGGCCGCGGATCGAAAAAACACACCGGCGACACCTCGGCGACGCCAAGACAGAGAAGAGGCCGGACTCCCACGCGGGCCGCCTCGTCGAGGCCTTCGGCGGTGCGGCGCGGTCCTCCGGCCCCCCTCTGCTCTGGCCCCCCAGATGGCGGCAGGGAGGAGCCGCAGCCTCATCGGGCCTTCTCCCCCTCCGCCCCCCCCCCCCACCTCCCCTGCGCCTCGGCGAAATGGCGGCAAACGGGATGGCCTTCCCCGGTCTCCGCCCCCCGCCGAGGGTCTGCTCTCTGACAGCCCAGCCCCTCCCCAGAGCACGGTGCTCCCGCACGAGAAAAACTGTGCACGCTCCTCGGCCAGTGCGTGCCACCCTTGCGCAGAGGCCAGGCTGGCCTTCTCTGTACCGCCCCTGCGCTCCTGCGCGCAGGAGCTAAAGTGAGAACGACACGCCGCCGCACTTGCCAGGGCGCTGCCTCGGGGTGCCTGCAGCGCAGGACGCCTCACTGGGGCGCCCGAAGGCAGGGTCGGTCAGCATCGAATCGGGACATCGGGTCGAATCGGAATGTGCGTCGAATCGGGCTGCATCGGCACGGAGTCGGAATCGGATCGGATCGGCTGCGCCAAGAGACACCACAAAGCCAGGCAAGAAACAGACCGCATGGGATTGCCGACATGTCGGAATCGAACCTGATCGGGCCAGCCAGCTCCGACACCGAATCGGATCGATTGGATCGAAATGGGCCCTGAATGGTAGCTGTCAGGACGCTTCTTTGGGTCGCCCGAGGGTGCCGTCCCAGCTTTCTCTGCCTCGATTCCTAGACCCCGACGTCATGATTGTTTCGCAACATCGACCCCAGAGGTCTCGACACATTCCCTAGGACTGGTTGTGCATCCTGCATATATGTTCAACAATCGAGGTCAGGGAAGGGCCCTCAGAGGCCGAAAATAGCGAAAAACCTTTGCCCTCAGAGGCCGGAAATGGCGAAAAGCCTTTCGTCACTTTTTTTTTCATGATCCGAAAGAGTCGGGGTTCCCAGGGGCGCCCGAAAGTACATGTCAGAACGCTTCTTTGGATCGCGTTTAAAGCAAATTCGTGCCGTGCTGACTTCGGCGTTGGTCTCTGACACCGCGGGGATCGTTCAACCTTGAACGACCAGCCCTTTCCGAAACGCTGGATAGTTCAACAATGGGCTGGTTCTAAGTCGCCAGCGGCGACTTGAAAAGGCCGTGCATGGCGACGGCAAAACCGCACCCCGGCCGAACCGACAGCGAAATCGAAACCAACGAACTCGACAGGCCGCAAACAGTCTAGAAGGGCGCAGCGACGCGGCAATGACACGATGACCGACCGAACTGAACCGACCGAACGCAACCGACTGCGACTCAACCGAACCGACTGAAGGGGAATTGGGACACACAAATAAATACACACAAATAAAAATATCCCCCATATTCTCCTATATTTTCTGGGTTTTTGTCTTCCCCCCCACTTCCCATATTTTCCCATATGTTCTGGGAATCGCCGATTAATTGTGTCTGTGTGTTTTTTCCCCTCCTGACCGACCGAACCAGGAACACCCCTGGCTCAACGTTGAACGCCGGCGGCGAGGTCGTCGCCGGTCGACACGACGCGAACCCACCGCACCAGAGCACGGTGCTGCCCCCGCCGCACAAGGGCCGGCCAGAGCGTGGCCGGGCACGGCCGGGCCACTTGGGCGCCCGCGCGCGGGCCTCGCTCGGCGTCGTCCAGGACCTGCGGGGATCGCTCATCTGGCGAGCACACAACGCATGTCATACGCTATCGGCGAGTACACGTTTGGTCGGCTGCGAGCCTGGGGAGGAAATTCGAGGTTCGAGGTTCTCTGGCGTGTTCGTCGGCAATCTTCCAGCCTCGGGGTGCATTCCGGCGGCTGCGCCTCGCCGAGTGCGACCTGGGGGTGCCCGGATCGTCCCGAACGGCCACCGGAGAGACGAGTTATGACCCAAAAACCACCCCGCGTCCGAGAGGGGGCGGGCCTTCTCAAAAGGCTCGTAGCGCCTCTGGCCTCCTGAGATGTTCTCGGCGCCTTCAACGACGACACGGAGAACTTCTCGAAAGGCGCGCGAAAGTTTCTGAGAATCTCTGCCGCTTTCTGAGAAGGCCTTCTCCACTTTCACTTCCCCCCCGGGCGCGCTCCAATCTCGGAACTGGAGTTAAATTACTTGTCGCTAGCAGCTTCTGCGTGCCGACGCCATCAGCTGCCGTGTCACGCACACCCTCGGTGTGCCGATTCGCATCGTCGCGCAGATCCTCTACGTGCCGACGGGCGTCGGCACGAGGTGCGTGCTGCGTTGCTGCGAGTCCAAATCATTACATCTAAGTCCAATGACATTCGCCGACGGCGTACCCTGCCCCGCAAGCTGCTCCGCGCTCCATCGAGCCTGAGCTGGATCGGATCGCAAACTCAGATCGGATCGGAAACGGGATCGGATCGCAACCCAAAGTCGGATCGGGATCGAATCGTTTGAGATCTCGGATCAGGCTCGGCCACTGCAGGCCAGAGACAGAGGAAGTAGGCTCGTGTCGGATCGGAGCGGATCGAAATCGGCATCGAGGTTTGGGAACCGGATCGGATCGAATCGGAACGTGAGCAGCCCTGTCCACCTGCCGAGCGTGCCATGCATGCCAGAGAGGACGGGGCGTGCTCGTCGAAGGAAGCAGAGGAGGGAGCAATGGAGGAGAAGACGAGTCCGTCCGTCCCTTCCCTCTGCCTTTTCCTGCCCTCTTCTGCTCGCCCCCCGACCCCTGTCTACTCGCCCAGGAAGCAGAGGAGGGAGCAATGGAGGAGAAGACGAGTCCGTCCGTCCCTTCCCTCTGCCTTTTCCTGCCCTCTTCTGCTCGCCCCCCGACCCCCTGCCTGCTCGCCCTCTCTCCCGGATCCTCTCTCCCGGACTGGCGAGCACGAGAACGCTCTTGGGATGGCAGGCCCCCGCGGGCCGGAGTTGCATCAGGAGCATGAGCGACGAAGAGGGACCTCGGCAAGATCTAGAGGAAAAAGAACTATGCACATACACCGATTCTGGCCAGGCCCATCCTGAGCCCAGGATCGGTGCATACGCCCTCCTACCTTGGCCAGGAAGGCATATGCACCGATCCTGGATCAAGGTGCATGTGCATAGTTCTCGTCGCCCGAAGATCGGAATGAGTAAGGGAAAATTGGGGGAAAGTCTCACAAGAGTCCCCGCCCATTTTGGACAGGATCCGCTGCCGATTCATCGGCGGGCAGCGTCCACTCGAGACAAAACACTGCCTGCCCAGCAGCGGAAGCTGTCGGCGTTGAGCAAATTAGCTGTCGGGGCGTCGTGCCCAAGGATCGGGCTGCCGAGGATCGGCCACGCGCAGAGGGGGGTAGGGGGAGGGGGAAGCCTTCTTTGAGGGAGGCTGCTTCTTCGCAGGCGCGGGCCTCATCCACAGATGCGGGGCGGGCGCCTTCGAAGAGGCAGCCTCCTCCAAAGAAGCCCTCCCCCCTCCCCCTGCCCCCTGCGCGCGCCGCCGAAAGTGCAGGCAGAGGAGGAGGAGGAGGAGGAGGAGGAGGAGGAGGAGGAGGAGGAGGAGGGCAGTCTGGAGAGATGGAGCACGCCCCCACCGAGAGAACCGCTCGCACCGCCGGCCGACCCGTCCCCCCAGGGCTTCGCGGCACCCCCTCCCCCAGGATGGCCGCGCCCCTGAGCGGGGACGGCTGCCGCTTCCCCAGGGGTTCGCAGCACCCCCCTCCTCCTCCTCCTCCTCCTCCTCCTCCTCCTCCTCCTCCTCCTCCTCCTCCTCCTCCCGCCCCGCAGAGAGGGGGGGCACCCTCGGAGCGCTGCAGTCGGACCCTGGGGCCAGAAGGAAGATCCCTCAATAACACACGAGGCCCTCCGTTGGCCAAAACGCACAGGACACCCAAGGGTACACCCTGCGAAATGCTTAAGAAATCATGGGTTCAGAAATTCATAGTCTCAGAATTTAAATAAAAACCCAGAACTTCTATCAAAATCTTGGGATTCACATTGAAAAATTAAGAATAATCGAGACTCTGGACGAAAACGTAGGTTTTCTTAAGCATCGCATAAGGGGTACCCTCCCCAGGATGCACAGAACATCCAGCGAACACGCAGAACCCTAGGGTACACGCCCCGAACCGACCTCGATCTTATCTCTCGATCCGACTGTACCCCCCACCCTGTCCTGGTCGGGGCTGGGATGGCCCCGACGACGACGACTGACAGCCGCAAGCGACGGGGCGCGCCATTAGCGATGCTCGCCCAAGGCTCGGCCCTCCGTCCCTGGGGGCCCAGCCTGAGCCCCCAGCACCTGGGCGCGGAGGCGCCCCGTCAGAGCCCCGCACAGATGCAACGGCATCTTGGGACGGCCCCAGGTTTGGCTTCAGGGAGCAGAGCGCGCGACCGCCGTGCAGGCTGCAGCGGGACAAATTGCACAGGGAGCGCCGCGTTCTCACAACGCGCCCTCTGCCGTCCCTCCACCTCCACCCCTCCCCCTGCTGCCCCTGCCCTCCCCAGCCACCCGTTCACACCCTTCCCCTGCCATCCCTTGCTGCCCCTCCCCCCCCCCTTTCCGTCCCCCATCCAGCCCGACCCTCCCCCCCTTCCCCCTCGCCTACTTCTCCTGCCCCCCTGCCAGAAGAAGCAGCGGCATCAACGCAAGAGGACGAGCGCCCCCGGGGCCTGCTTGGCGAAATGCTCGACCAGGGCTGCCACCCCGTTCATCGGCGTCAGCAGCTGGGCCTCCGCCGCCTGCCGCCGGGGATTCCGCGGGCGGCGAGCGAGGGGGAAGCGAGAGGGGCAAGCGACGGCCGCCACCCCGTTCATCGGCGACAGCAGCTGGGCCTCCGCCGCCTGGCGCCGGGGACTCCGCGGGCGGCGAGCAGGTGTTGGGGAGGCACCAACTATACACCAACACCGATCCCAGCCAGGATCAACCTGGGCCCAGGATCGGTGTGTACGCCCTCCTGCCAGGGGCAGAATGCACATACGCCGATCCTGGGCCCAGGATCGGCCCAGGCTGGATCGGGGTAGGTGTATAGTTGGTGCCCTCCGAAGTGTGGGCGACCAGGCTGGGGGGGCAAGCGAGAGGGGACGGGCCTTTCGGCGACACGCAGGAGCGACCCCGGGCAAGAGTGGCCTCTGGTGCGCGGCTTTCGGGGGGGGGGGGGGCAGGGGCGCCAAACCCACGCGCAGAACCCGCTCTTCGACGATCTGGGGACTCCATCGTGCCCGCTCTGAATCGGGCAGTCCAGAAAGGGTCCTATGAACGAATGAATCCTTTGAGCCTACTTTTGGACGCAATTTTGGGTACGTCGCAAATGGGCTCGCCGACGCGGCCGCGCGGCGACGCCCGCGCGCTGCGTTTCCAAGGGCCCTGGCCTGCGGCCCCTGGTCGTACTTTTGAGTACCGCCACTCCCGTCCAAAAAGTACAATTGCACGATCGTGCGTTTGAGGAACGAGCTCCAAAATACGATTCGCCAGAGACTTCTCCAAATGATACGCGTGAGACGACCCACTCGAAAGTCCCGCGCCGTATTTTTGAGCGCCCCCCCTCCTCCCCTCCCCCGCGACGGGGGGGGGAGAGCTCGGCAAGGGGGGTGCGGCCGCGAGGCTGGGGGAACGCGCGCATGCACGGTGACCCTCCCGCACGCCCCGCGGCGACCCTCGGCCGCTCGTATTTTGGACTTTTCCAAAGGGCCCATGCGCGCATAGGACCCTTTCTGGCTTCTTCCGATCTAAAGGTCACTCCGGCGAAGGGTCCTTCTAACGTGTAAGTAATCCAGCCTTCTGGAAAATCCTCCGAGCCTTCCCCGAAGGCACAGAGCGCTTCTCGAAGGCCGGGGTGCTTCTAGGAAGCCCCGACACCTTCTGAGCAGGCCTCCGCCTTCTCACTTCCCCCCCTCGCTCGCCGACGAAAGTGGGCATCGGGGAGGGGGCTCTTAGGCCCGCCGGCCCCCCTTGGGGGGGGGGGGGCGATTCGACTGCGCGGCCAAGGCCTTCCTGTGTCCCTGCGGCTTCGAGCCCCAATGTCACGACTGACATCCGCGCAAGGGGGAGAGGGGGGAGGAGACCGCAAAAACTCTGATCTACCATCCCAGAGCCAGGTGCTCTGGATTTCTGCGGGGCGTGGGATACGACAGAATCGCTCGCGCCCCTGGAGCCACTGTCCTTTCTGTAAATCGCTCCCGAGGCCACAATCCCTCGTAAATCACGCGCGCTCGCGCTTCTGACACCACGATCCTGCGAAAAGCGAAGAAGGGATCAGGCTCCCGAGGCCAGTCTCTCGTGAATTACTGGGCGCTCGCGACTCCGAAACTAGGACCCCTCGTAAATTACGTATGTTTCGCGCCCCCGTACGTAGACTCGCGCTCCCGAGGCCAATCCTTTGTCAATCACTGCGCGCTCGCAGTCTTCCCAATGGCCAGGAACCCACCCCCCGCGGAGGCTGCAAAAGAAGCCCCCCCCCTCTCCAGATCAGAAGATTGTCTGCTGTGTTCGGGGGGGGGGGCGCTTTTGGTCGATTCCTGAAACCTTGGCTCTGGACCACGACGCTACGGATCCTCGAAACTAGCTATGGGCGCGCGCTCCCGAAACCTTGAACCCTTGCGAGTTGCAGTGGATGCGAGCTCCCGTGCCTCATGAATCCCACCGGCCCTTTCGGCCGCGAGTGATTTAGAGCTCGTCCTCTTCCCATTTCCCCTTCGGGGAGGCGCTTACCCCTCCGGGAGGTATCCCTCTGGGGGAGAGGAAGTAGGGGGAGGCTCCCCCTACTCCCTCCCCCAGAGTCTGGGAAGGAGAGGTCGCGAGGTGTCAGAAGGTTCTTTTTGGCCTCGGCGAGAAAGCACAAATCATCGATTTTACAAGGATGTTGGACCCACTTTGGCCTCCTGGGAGGAGCCTACTTGAGTATCACCCCTCCTTTGATCAATCTGCTTCAAGATGGCCACAAGATGGCCCCCGAAGCTCATTCCCAAGACGGCCGCAAGAAGCGCCCAGTCCTCCACCAAATCTCTCAAGAGACCTCCCTCCAGGGGAGGCCTCCCGTAGACCTCCCCTGGCACTGCCACCAGACCTCCCGAGGAGGACCTCCCTCCGCCCAGGGATAGGAGGCATCCTGGAAACGTACCCTGGTCCTCCACCCGACCTCCCGAGACCTTCCCTGATCATCTGGGAGGTCTATCAGGCGTCTCGGAGTCCGAAACAGCAGAGAAGGTTTCTTGAACAGCGGAAGCCTAGTGGAGGACCAGGGGAGGCCTCTCGGAGGGTTCCCCATGGTCCTCCATCAGGCCTCCCGGGAACATCCAAAGGGCCAGGAAAACCTCTGGGGGGCCTCCCTTTCTCCTCGGAGAGGTCTCCCGGGAGACCTCCAGGAGCACCATAGGCCTCCTGGGAGGTCTCCGGGAGGACCAGGAGAGGCCTCTTGGGAGACCTCCAAGAGGACCAGGGGAAGTCTCTTCGGAGACCTCCGGGCGGATCAGGGGCGGCCTCCTCGGAGACTTTTTGGAGGACCAAGGGGAGCCTCCGGGGAGGCATCCCGGAGATGGCAGGGGAGGCCTCTCGAGTCGTGCTCTCTCCTTCTCCTCCTCCTCCTCCTCCTCCTCCTCCTCCTCCTCCTCCTCCTCCTCCTCCTCCTCCCCTCCTCCTCCTCCTCCTCCTCCTCCTCATCCTCCGCCTCCTCCTCCTCCTTCCTCCTCCTCCTCCTCCTCCTCCTCCTCCTCCTCCTCCTCCTCCTCCTCCCTCCTCCTCCTCCTCCTCCTCCTCCTCCCTCCTCTCCTCCTCCTCCCTTCCCTCCTCCTCCTCCTCCTCCTCCTCCCCCTCCTCCTCCTCCTCCTCCTCTCCTCCCCTCCTCCTCCTCCTCTCCTCCTCCTCCTCCTCCTCCTCCTCCTCCTCCTCCCTCCTCCTCCTCCTCCTCCTCCTCCTCCTCCTCCTCCTCCTCCTCCTCCTCCTCCTCACTCCTCTCCTCCCTCCTCCTCCTCCCCTCCCTCCTCCTCCTCCGCCTCCTCCCCTCCCTTCTCCTGCCTCTCCCTCCTCTCCTCCTTCTCTCGCCTCCTCCTCCCCCTCTCATCCTCCCCTCGTCTCGTCCTCCTCCTCCTCCTCCTCCTCCTCCTCCTCCTCCTCCTCCTCCTCCTCCTCCTCCTCCTTATTATTATTGGTATTATTAGTATGATTATTCTTCTTCTTAGTATTAGTATTCGTCTTCTTAGTATTAGTATTATTACTATTATTACTATCATTATTAATATCAGTATGATTATTAGAATTAAGCTTATTAGTATTATTAGTAGTATTAGTAGTATTCTTGTTATGAATAGTATTATTAGTATTCTTATTAGTATTATGACTCTTACTGCTAGTATTATTAATATTGGTAGTACTACTAACGTAGTATTGTTATTAGTATTCTTCTTCTGAGTATTAGTATTATTCTTCTGATTAGTAGTATGCGTCTTGTTCTTACTATTAGTAGTAATAGTATGGTTAGTCTTCTTATTATTAGCATTCGGAATATTATTATGTGGATTACTATTGTTATTCTTAGTTTTCGTAGTATTAGTAGTATTATATTATTATTAGTAGTAGTAGTATTAGTACTAGTTCTTATTATTATCTTAAGAAGTAGTATTAGTATTATGCTGCTTATGTTAATTATTATGCGTCTGGTGGTTCTTCTTCTTCTTATGATTAATACTCTTATTAATCGTATTAGTATGCTTATTATTATTATCACTATCCTTCTTATTCTTACTATTATTAGTATTATTCGTCTTCTGAATATGATGATGGATATTACTCATATTGTGATTGTCATTAGTCGTCTTATTGTTCGTCTTATTCTCATTATAATTATTAGTATTAATAGTACTAATATTAATACTGCTTTTTATTATTATTCGAGTTATTGTTCTTCTTCCTATTATGATTATGATTATTCTTCCTCCTCCTCCTCCTCCGCCTCCTCCTCCTCGTCCTCTCAAGTCCTTGCGGCTCCGCGCCCCGAGATCGGGGAGCTGGCCGCACCGGCGCGCGCGCACCGGCGGGGGTGGTTCAAGCCAGGGCTCGAACCTGACCTCGCCTCGCGACTTGAGGGGGAGCAAGGCTGCCGCACAAGTCGCGTCGGGACTATCACAAGTTACGGGCAACATTTCCGTCTGTATGGTTGGTGTCCTTGTCCACTTCTTTTCCATCTTTTTGTGAGTGCCGTGGGTTGTGCATCAATCAAGGTTGTGGGTGCATTTTCAGATCTGCTTGGGCATCAGTGGCTTTAACCACAGTGCTGCAATCTCCTACGCCGCAGCGGAAATGGAATTAAGTTCGTGTTTGTTTGTTGATAGCGCCCCTTACGGCCTTTCAAGTTTTCTTCAAGGCTTGCTGGTGGTCAGTTCATCAATCAAACAACTCGGCCGTGGGTGGAGTCATCAATTCTGTTTGGGCGCCTCAGTGGCCTCGTCACCTACAGTGCTGTACTCCCACAGCCGCCAAGGGGTGTATGTCAATTCAAGTTTGTCTGGTTGGTGGCGTCCATCACGGCGTGTCGATTATCGTGTTTGCTGGTGGTCGTTGCATCAATCAAACAACTCGGCCGTGGGTATTGTCTGCAGTTCTGTTTGGGCTCCAGGCCTTGTCAGCTACTGCCCTGTAGTCTCCCACAGCCGCACGGGGAGTGTATCTCAATAATTTTTGGCAGTGTGGTGCTGCTTGTTTCAGTTATTCAAGTGGCAGGTGTTCGCATGCGTTTTTTGCAAACTGT